TTTTCTCATGACATCGATTTATTGGAGAAAGCAGGTCATTTGTCATCTATGATATACACCTCCCAGGATTTGGCTGATTGCTTCTCTGTGGTGTCATTTAACATGTTTCTCTGTTCCCCATATTTCCTGTCAACTGGAAGTTCCATCTGGAGGCCTGATTCATTCAGATTGGGTTCAGGTCACCTCATAGCTGGCGCTGTACTTGCTACTGCATGTCCTCAACAGGCACATGGTGTCTGGCTGCCACACATTCAGAGATTCTAGGATTCAGGTTCAGGTGGGTTCAGGTGGTGGTGTCTGCTGATCCCTCCATTATAAAAATCCCCCATCACTCTTTCACCTAAACAGTTTTAGCATCCATTGATGATCATTGCTTAGGTCTGTTATTTCCTTGTGCGTCTATTGGCTGGAATTTAACGAAGGTGTTTAACGAAGACCTTTTCCTCACCTGTATGGTTACTCTGACCTGCTCTTCGTACTGAAAAGCAGGATAAATACTTGGTTCTTTCCCTTTATCAATTTTCAGAGTAGTGAGTTTGGGCCCTAGCAGCCTCCAGTATTGACCTGTGAAGATTTGGTTTTCATATCATTTTGAACATATATTTTTATACATTTAATATGTTTTAATTAATTTGTTTTTTGGGGTTTTTTTTGCTCAAGTTGGCTCAACAGAACCCCCTTTAAGGTGGTATCTTTGTTCTTTGTCATACTCCATTAGTCTTTAATAGCTTCCTTGCTCGATAAGATGTCTCAGGCTTATTTTGCACATTTCCTGCCCCAGTCTTGGAATCAGTCATTTCACCAACAAGCTCTGGTTCTTTTTAGCTGGAAAATAGTATTTAGAGACCTCAGTTGGAACACTAGAAGTGATGGGTGCTACTGAGCTATGATTGCTTCTGGGCCTTTCAATGAACAGAGTTAGAAAATAAACATTTTTTTAAGAAAAGAAAGAGTTGTGAGTTCATATTGGTATTTCCAATTCAAATTTAAGGGTGTAATGCTTTTATTTATTTGGTTTTATACTGGTATCTTGTATCTCTGTATCCTATGCTGGAAATCTTGTTTCCCAATAGCAATAACGAAACCACTTGTTTGCTATATCCTACTGTGTCAGAGGACCCCAGTGGTTCACTAGGAGCTACGATTTATCACAGTGAGAGGACACCAGGCAGCCTTGGCAAAGGGAAAAGGTGCATGGGGCAAAGACTGGAGGAAATCAGGTACTGGGTTCCAAGAGTGCTGTCCCATTGAGTCACACAGGACGTGCTTACTTCCCCCAGCAAGGAGTTGTGACAATATGTGTGAAGTGTTGTGTAGCAGGGAAGCTCATTAGAGACTCAGTACCCGGGGTTTGTACTGGGGACTCGTCACATAAGCACACACCAAAATTCCACACTTCCAGAAAGAAAGCAGGTGTTCGCGTAGACCACAATGTTTGCACAAACAGTTTAGGTACAGTGAGCCACTCTTATCATTTCTGGGAATTGTGGGAACCACCCGAGTCTAGGTTCCCAGATGCCAGCCACAGGTCGACCTTGCAAGCAGGCTTTTCTAAGATAGCAGTTTGTTTGTGTTAATTCTATTCTGCACACCTACGATATAGTAATTATAGTTTTAAAATAACTATATTGGTTTTTACTACTAACAGTAAGACTCAGAATGAAATTTAAGATTTCTTGGTGGTTCTTTTTTGGCTTTAGAATATGTCCCTGTAGGGCTATACAGTCAAAGTACTATGTTTAGTTAATTTTTTTCTCCATGTAGATTTCCCACCATAACATACAGTTAGGTTA